GGGGGGCTTTCGCGATCGCTCGTTTCGACTGTGACGGCTAAATAACGCTTTTTTTTTGTTGCAGTACAATCGCTTTTAATTGCACTTGGAAAATCACCAGCACGGCCGCTATTTGTCAAAAGGTACGACATCCGTTCCCATAGAGAGGTGGTGCTATTATAGTTAGAAGTATATATTTACAGAGATCATGTTGAATGCCGAGCTCCGGCTGTTAGCTTCGAGATATTTCGCGCGATCGCACCTTCGTATTATCAGGATTTCAGCGTGTAGCAAGGATTTTTTGCATATCGAGACGAGGGTGATTGTAACGAACTACCTGCTGAAATATACATGCAGCAGTGGCAACAGCGTCTTGTAAGTTTTTTCCTCATCAATCCTAATTCACTCGGAATTCGCACGTTTCTCTCGCGCGCGCAAGGCTCTGTACAATGTAATATAAAAAAATAACTGCTTGGCGAATAAAGATAAAAAAGAAGAACTGGAAAATATGCTTCATTCACGCTCGGAGAACACAGTGGAACAGTGGCCGATTCACCAAGATATTATCGACGGACTTTCGTAGCAGATTCAGCTTTTTGTCGATTCTCTAAAATCAAGTCGCTCGAGATTTGATTCGCTCTTCGCCGATGGTGCCCCCTTAAACTTACGTCTCTGCTAAGCCTAGATACTTCCTACTCATTGTAACACTAAGAACGCTCGCGCGTTCGCTAAAGGGGATGAAATTATGATTAATACATAGATTTGCGGGGGGTAGGATATAATATAACGCAAAAAAAGTACTCTTATCAATAATCATAAGGTAATAATAATTAATAACTACAATAATAATGCAACAGCAGAAACGCATATCTGCCGGCGTATGCAGCGATTGAGAGGAAAGGGAAAGGGACGCGTTAGTAGTAGGTCTTATGTACACGTTTCGTTTTGCGAATACACTTGTCAGTTTCTTTCCCTGCGAATATGTTTGCCTAAGTAAAATCTCTTTTTTTCTCTCTCTCTCTCTCTCTCTCTCTCTCGCTCGACCTCTCCGTTCCTTTGACACTGTTGCCCTCGCATTCACTCTATATATGCGCACTTATTCTTACTTCCATAGGATTAGAATTTGTAAAGAATTTATCAAAAAGCTGGAAAGAAACGTAACGGGGAGAGAAGTGTGCGTTGTCAGGTCTCGATGTTCAAGGAGAGTCGCGTTCTTTCGACGCGAATCGCGGTTTCAAATTGGCTGTCTCGCGCGCGCCAAGCGTCTCGATTGTTCGTTGGCACAATCTATTAGAATCCGAAATTAAAACACACTGATTTTCCGTCGGGCGAAAGAGACAACATTTAATGACGATAACGAAAAAAAAAAAAAAGGAAAAGAAGATACACACGATGGTTCCCTGGCGAAATAGCGCGCGTTTTACGGTAAAAAAAAGACCATGGATTCTTTGGGATTTCCTTTGAAGGATAAATACGTTTTCTCGGGAATGCTAACGTCTCGGGGAACATGGTGCGACTGCTCGCCAGTTTGAAACCTTTCCCCCCCCGCTGTCACATCGACAGTACGTGTCAGCGCCTCGCCGACACGGTACGATACAAATAAGAGAATTCTATACTAAAGAAAGGCCGACATTGAAAACGTTAACGGTACTCGATTCGCGAATCGATTTACTCTGCAGGCTGCAGCGGACGACTACCATCCTTTGCAAAGGATCGCCACGTCAAGGTCACGTTAGCATCGACCACAAGCGTTTATCTTCCTGGGAGAGGGTGATTCGCGTGTGGTGTGTAGATTGTGTGTGTGTGTATGTATATGGGTATCTGTGTATGTGTGTGATGTAAATTATACGAAATTATCCCCTTGTGCGCAACACTTTGCCGGAAGTACCCCCAGTTTCTTGCGCGCGTTTCTGCAGGTGCATGTCAAATGTACTTGTTTCAGGTTCCACTTTCAGCGTTTGTTGTGTTTGCCCAAGAAATATTTCTAAAAAAAAAAGTTACAAAAGCGCATCTTTGGCTCCCCTCTTCCCTGAATGCATCCCCCTCATCATGTCTTAGTAATGATGATCTGCATTCTCGTGCACGCTGAAACAGAAAGGATAACGGAATTTTCAATCGCAGTTTTCAATCGATAAAACGGTCGGAATTGAGAAGAACGACCAAAAAAAGAAAGTGAAATTAAAACGGTAAAGGCGATATTTCCTTACATTAACTTCTAAGATTTTTCTCTTCTCATTATTTAAAATATTTCCTAAAAAAGATTCATAGGGAAAACGAAGAGCAGAATAACAAAAATGCAAGCATTTTATGTGTTGCGTGAAATAAGGCGTTAAATAAATTCTCCAATATAAAAAGCCTTAATTTTACAGGGTATATACCTGAGCGACGCTATAATACATACTCGGAATAAATCGCAATGACAACAGCGCACGGAAGCCTCAACTGTATTAGTATGCACCACGAATGGAATCGGATTACATGAGTTATCAGGGATATCCGAGATGACTTGAATGCGAATAAATCTGCCCCATGTCTGGCTGCGATCATTTGACGATTATATAATCATATTATTGAAAGGAGTGTTACTGGCTTTTTTCTGTTCTTTTTATTCGTGCGGAAATTACGGCGCGTCGATGAGCAAACGGGGGCGCAGCGGGAAATGGTGTGTTAGTTCCGAAAGCAGGTCTCAGGCAGAGGCGAAGTTCTTGAACGCCTTTGTAGGATGATTAGTGATTCCTTGTTACATCGAAAGTAGAACAACAAAATCACTAGTCTTCCATACAACGGTGCTCCCATTCTCCCTCACGCTGGGGCTAGAGGATTCCCTCCCAGCGCGTCGTACACTCTCCTTCCGTCCGTCTCACTCCGTTCCGACTCTCTCCTTCACCTTTGCGAATTGCAAATAGTCACCTCAATCGATTTTGGTTAGTCGGATTGTGTTAGTTTTCCTAGAGATGTGGCGAGAGCTGCGATGGCGACGACGGCCGGTTATAAAGCGGATGAAGAAGTACGGGAAAATTATTATCGCGCATGACAACGACGAAGGAACATATTCCGATGTATGTGATTAGACACAGCAGCGTATAAAATCGAAGAATCCGAATACGTGTGTACACATGTGTATTATCCATTCACAGAACGATAATGCACTATGTACCACCGACTTTATCTCGCGCTCACACAGCGTATATTTACAAAGTTAACCATACCAATTGAGATTCAGATAGCATTTACGGATTATCGTTCTTTTCCCTTCTTCGATTTTATTTTAACAATTATCTCTTCATATCGTCAAGACGAAGCTTCGCAAAATCATAACAAAGTGGCGGCGCATGAAATGATAACAATATGAAGTTCACAATATTATACAAGCATTATGTATCGCACAATTTTTATTCGCGCAATTACAAGAACCGTACATGCTCAAACATCAAGGCTTTCGTAAATACATTCTTCTATATTTGTTATGGCGCATTTAACAATAAATACGTTCTCGATTCCAAGTTCCGTCAATATATATATATATATATACTATCTCTTATACACATCTCTGAGCGGGCTGGCAA